CGATCTACTTTTGGGCGATTTCCAATAACATGATCTGGAATTTATTCTAATTCCGGTTTCTTAAAAAAATTGATAATTTGAGTAGGCCTATCGTTTCAAATAATAGAAAAAATTTCAAATACATGATTAGATCGTAATACGTAGGCCCCTCTCAACTTTTTTTGCGGTACTGGAGTTCCGTTAAAGTTAGGAATACGAAACTTCATACATAAGTATAAAATCCTATACTTTGGTTCTTTTTATTTTTTATGGAGTGGTTTCTAATATCCGTGAAGAGGTACTCTTACAGCGTTTCCTTTTTCTAAAAATACCGACAACTCGAGTAACGTGTCAGTTAGGTCAACGAATGTTTTTAGAAGTATTAGATTGTATACGTTATAAACAGAGTTTCTTCCAGGCATCTCTTCGGGGGGGGGGGGGGGGGCTAAGACCCCCCCCCGACATTTTTTTTACCGCCCCCCCCCCCCCCCGAACGAAATGAATTCATAAAATTTAATATAGATAAATATATACTTTTAAACAGTGTCCCGTCCCCCCCCCCCCCCGAAGAAAGTCTACCGCCACCCCGAAAATTTCAAGTGCCCCCCCCCCCCCCGGAGAAAAAAGTCTGGAAGAAACACTGGTTATAAAAGCAGTTTGATGTGCTTTCTTCTTATAACCTGCCCAAACACTTATCCATGCATGTTTCGCTGGTAAATCTAGTCGTAAATTTTAACCTAAAAATAATCTGTTTAATCCTTAATAAAATTTCAGCAATCTATAATTTTTATACTTAAACTTCACTTCAAAAACTTATAAATGTAACTGCTATAAATAATAAACATAGCTTAATACGGCCTAAACTTTCTGATTTGGTCCTGTGCGTAGCTAGGGTCATATTATCACAGTGGTGGTTTGGTCCTGATTTAGATCTACATCTGATTCTAAACTTATTTTTTGAAAATAACAATATATTTAGGCATATAGTGACTTAAAGAAAAGGAATATGTTTTTAAGCATTAAAATAAATTAAATGATAGCACTCTAGATATAAATTCATTCGGCTAATAATTACTATTTTAACTTTGCCTACCAGTTTTGAACGGCGTATAAGGAAACGAAGGTATTTAGTATAAACTTAAATATTCTATATATAGATCCTTACAAAGTTTGAAAAATGGCTATGAATATAATCGTGCTGAAATCCATTGGGGTCCCGTTCTATGGCCTACAACCCCGGTGATATTCGCATATGTTTTGATATTGAGCTTACTTCACACAGTGTGCAGTTAGCCACGTGTGCAGTTAGCCACACAATCAAGCACACATTGGAAAGGTACTCGGTGCGGTACTTTGCAGTGTCACCCACCCCCAAAGAAACAATATATATATATATATATATATATATAATATATATATATATATATATATATATATATATATATATATATATATATATATATATATATATATATATATGTGTTTGTGTTGGCATACACAGGCCTATAATTAAAGTATGTGCCACAAACGCGCAGTGTTTCTTGCAAACTTTTTTCTCCGGGGGGGGGGCACTTGAAATTTTCTGGGGAGGCGGTAGACTTTCTTCGGGGGGGGGGGCGGACACTGTTGAAAGTATATGTTTTTCTATATAAAAATTTCATTTTGTTCGAGAGGTGGGGGGGGGGGCGGTAGACTTTCTTCGGGGGGGGGGGGGGGGGGGGGAGGGGCTAAGCCCCCCCCCCCCCCCCCCCCCCGAAGAGATGCCTGGACGAAACTCTGCATACGCGTACATGTATAAGCTTTAATCACTGCAGACTTAATAGTAACGATGTTTATCTATAGAATGTACATTTTGCAATTTTTTGCCTTGGTGTCAACCCCTAAATGCTGTCACCCGGTGCAGTCCGCACCCCACGTCCCACCATCGGTACGCCTCTGGTTACAAACACCATTTTACTACTACCCAAGGGTAGGGGTTAACCCCTTAACATAAGCTATTCGGAGATGAACAGACCAGGGGAAATCTAATTAATGGTATCTTCACGCGCTGGTCGTTAAGGGCTATAAGCAGGTGCATGACTGACCCGGTGATTTATATCTAACGTGGTGATAGGACGTTTTGGTAGAATTATTACCCATGACACATATGTGAGCGCCAGACGGTATTCCGATGACCACCGGGAGACGTTATCGCCCGACTAGATTGTTAAGGCTAGAGAACGCGTGGGGACCTGAGGTGGTTGGTCATCGGAAGTACCGAGTGACCGTAAGTCACATGACAAGATCATTAGACGATGGACAGCGCGAGGACGCATATTGGTTAGTTTTTCGGGTGTCATAAGACAACAAGTGACCGGACGTTATATCGAACGTCAAATGACGGTACGGAGCCGGTCTCGAAAAACTTGGACTAGCTTCACTTGACAGGCGTTGATTGATGTTCATAGGTCGGCCGTGGATGAGGTTACTGGTATATAATAGGTAGGAGTAGGGGATCTGGTCGAAAAAAAACAAGCTGCGGTATAGGCCATGGTAGGCTGGCCGCGAAGGCGGGCTTATTGGCCAAGCTGATGTCTTGCTCCTATTAGTCTGACATCTTGTTCATGTGGCGAGGTGTTTGTTCCTGATGGCAGATGCCTTGTTCCAATTGCGGGATTTCTTGTTCCTGCTGGCCCGATGTCGTTGTGTCCACTGAGGTCTTGTGCACATTGGCCTGATGTCTTGTTATTGTGGCCTAACGTCTTGGTCCTGATGCCTTGTTCCTGTGGCAGGAAATTGTCCTGTCACTGTGTGCCGGACTAGATTTTTAGGGTACTAAACTACTCATGGAAGGATTTACCGTGGCTGAATGAGTAGAACTAGGTAGGATGACGTTTACCTGTGTGATTCTGAGTTGATTACATATCAGTGCATTAGTAAAAGAATAGTGAAATTACACTTGTGAAACAATAGAGAATATACCTCATTTTTGTGTGCAACTTTTTTTTTGTCAATAATTGTGCAAATTTATGTTACTTGTTTGGAATTTTAAACATTTTTTGTTTTGTTTCTATGGTTGTTGTTTTTAATGTTTTTACACTTGGTTTTTATTGTGAATAAAAATATATACAAAACATATTTTTTGTTTCATCTTATTTCTACAAGACAATAAACAACCTCTTACTGTGTTGTAATGAATTTTTAATACCATAGAAGTATTTTATATTAAAAGTGCTTTTACTTTAAAACAGAGTAATGTTGTAAGATTGTACAACCATAAAGAGACTCCAGTCTGAAAGGGTAAACTTAATTTATATATATATATATATACACATATACCAAGTATAGAAAATGTTATCTAGCCCAGCTTAATAGTCCACCCATCAACATACTTCTCTCCTCAATCATAACATAAACTTAATTCACAGTTTAAAGACTTTCAGTGAAGTACAGTGAGATCTGTTCTATAAAAGGAATGTTTTGGAGAATGGCATCTTAATATCTTGGCTGTTTCCCATTTAAGAAAATATCTGGTCTGCTGGTATGTGTGAGGTTGGGGTGGTGGATGCTGTCTCATTCTTCACACAAAAAAATACTAACACAATGATAATTTAAAAAAAAAATTCTTTTATTACAGTAGTAGAAACCAATAAACACATGAAAAGTAACGGTGAAATTAAAACTCTTCTTTTAATTGACCCAGTCAAAATTAATTTAAATTAAAAACTTTGATGCAATTAATGCAACTTAGAAGTAAATGCTACAGTCATATTTTAATCGCAAATATATATTTGATTTATTATTGAATGTTTTGATTGGTTCTTTTTATTTAGTCATACTCTTAAAATAGAAGAGCTGATAAAGTTAATAATCACACTTCTATTCCTTAATTCTTAACCATCTTCTATCCTTAGCTTAAGCCATTACATTGAATCTAACATAATAAGAGCTGTTTCAATTTGATTATAACTTACATGATTCAACTTATGCATTATGGGATTATTAAAGCAGTCTAGAGACTAAGCTACAATCACACAGCATCACTTATATTAAAGTTATTTAGCTGCTGAGAAGTGTAACAGTTTTAACTGATTTCTCAAATGTTAAATTGATATTGTATGAATTTATGCCCATGAGATTTTATTAAAATAGGGTACAAATAGTATCTAGTTAGTATTAACAAAGAATAAAAATCAGCAGTTTCTTAGTATTTACTTTTAGTCAGTGCTTTGAAAATAAAATAATTAAATACACATATTATATAGACCCACATATAATATATATATACACACATAAAAATATATATCACACAAAACTGCTACGCCACATAGTTGACTTTTTCACTGCCTGCAACTTCTATTTAACATTTACCACAAAAGTGAGAAGGGGTGGAGAGTTTATTTTGTTATATTGTATTTTATGGGCTGGATTGAGATGTTGAGCAAATTATGCTTATTTAAAAAAAAAATTTTTGTAATTTAGAATGGTTAGATTGACAAGAGAGAATGATAAATCATTTTATATGAAGATGAAACTTATTATTTTAAAAAAAAATATGATGTTTAAAAATAATTAAAAAAATCACATGATTTCAAATCCGGTCATGGTTTGAGGGAGGGTGGATGGGTTGTTGTAGAATATGGTGGGTGGTTGTCTAAAAATGTTCCATAATATTATATAAGGTTTGTTATGGATAAAACTGACATTTTGTGTGATAAATAAAGTGCATGATCCACTAACCAAACTTTCCTCAACAGTCATCACAGTTAACTACTAGCAGCTGTATAAAAGGTGTAATGAAATGTTTACTGTTGTCCTACCTACTCCAAATCATAGGCTTACCTGATATAATATAGCAGTTGGGTACTATGCTCAGATACTGGTAAAATAAATACACTTTATTTACTACTAGTCAACAACTGGAAACATAGAAAATTGACGAACATAAATAAAATGGTACCAGTGGATGGCACAGAAAGATTAAAATGGTTGAATTACCAGGTGATGGTTCAGAAAGATTAAAATTGTTGGATTACCAGTGGATGGCACAGAAAGATTAAAATAGTTGAATTACGAGGTGATGGTTCAGAAAGATTAAAATGGTTGAATTACCAGGTGATGGTTCAGAAAGATTAAAATGGTTGAATTACCAGGTGATGGTTCAGAAAGATTAAAATGGTTGAATTACCAGGTGATGACTCAGAAAGATTAAAATGGTTGAATTACCAGGTGATGGCTCAGAAAGATTAAAATGGTTGAATTACCAGGTGATGGCTCAGAAAGATTAAAATGGTTGAATTACCAGGTGATGGTTCAGAAAGATTAAAGTTAGAAAGGAGTTCCAGTAAGATTTTACTTCTTTGTTACTCAAGAATGTCTTTAAAATTTAATTTGAAATAACCGCCTGTAATAAAATAATACTTTTACAGCTAAACTAAATGGAAAGACTTTTTGAACACAGTTAATATAACAAGAAATGGAAGCATTTTAAAGTGTATACATTTGTGAGTTTGTGCATTAATGCTGATTGTTTTAAAGAACCAAAAATGGTTTCCTGAAATGCAATTTTAAAAATGCAGCTTGCAAAAAAATAAGGGTAAAAGGTTTAAGCAAAAGCAAATTTTGTGAACACAGATCTTTTTTGAAAATAAAAAGTAGTAGCTAAATCAGTTAGGTAATTATTTGTCATGTTTAACAACAGCACTACATTATTATGCTATTGATATTATCATACAAAAAACATATAGTTATAAAAAAATATTTTTAAAAAGGAGGAATAAAAGTCAAGTTTAAATGATCTAAAATTTGACAGTCATTTTACTAAAATACTGGGCTATAATTATATTTATTAGTAGAAAGCAACTGCTACTTTTATTAGTAATTAATGTTTCCATTACTTTGTGAAAAATAGAAAACTTTAAATAGTCTTTGTGTGATAATAAATATAAACAATGACATAGTTATGACAAGGAAGCAGCATTTTGTAAGGAATATTTTTGAAAACTATGAACCAAAACCTCATATATATGTTTTGTTACAGTTAGCCTACAGCAGAGATTTAAGACAAATTATTTTTAGAAGTTTAAGGTTGAGTAAAATATTGGGAGTTACTAAAAAATCTGAAATAATCTTAGCAAGAGTTGAGATAATTCTTAAAATTTGGTTTAGAAAACAAAAATTATTTATGGCTCTTTTGATCATCAAGTGAAATCACACATCTGCAATTAATTTATTAATGAAAAAATCACAACCAATATTCATGGTGGGAACAAGCATTGTCATAGAAAATATATTTACAACACACAATGTTATGATAGAGAATGGAACATGGCTAAACAGTGAAAAGGCTGGAATGTTAACTCATTGATGAGGCAAAGTAGTACAACTTTTGGAATTATAACTTTGACACTGTGTAAGATTAAGGTATCATTGTGTGTTACAAACATAAACTCTATTTAAAAGCAAATGTCTCAATATTTCAAACCTGATGCTGCTTTAACAACAGCCAAGTCTACACCAATGGAAATCATCAGCTAGTACAAAGAAGTATAGTTTTAAATCAGTATCAAATAATGCTTGAAACATAAAACAAAAGAGTTTGCATGAAAGTAAAATATACCCACAGCATTATTTTGTTTTGTTTTATGAAACCAAATAAAAACTTAAATGTCAATGGCCAATTAAGGTGTATAAAGTTCTGTTTGCTTTCTAAAATTAAAGTAATTAAATATTAATATTTGTTTTTTTGTTAAAAAACATGTTAACCAATTATGAAAACACCCAATTTTAATTTTAAATAATAAAGCAAAAAATGTAATAAATCATGTAAAATAAGAATACCAAGCAAAAAAAAAAAAAAAAATTCCAACTATTTCTGACATTATGAAAGGTTACAAATACTTGAATAGCAATTCTTGTTGCATTTCTTGTTATTTAATAAATTACAGTATGCATTGCAGCTTTTTTTTAAGACAGAATTTGCATATATACCAATTACATTTTATAACTGTTTTGAAAAGTACCAAAGTATCTTTAGATTTTACAATATTTTTGAGATATTTTTGTAAAATAAAAAAAGCACAGCATCATTTTAAAATCTTTAAATGAAGAGGTTTATTAATTGGGCTAAATATCTTGATTTAAATAAATTTAAATGGAACAAAGATCTTAAAAGAATTGAACAATGTATATAATACTTTCTTCTGTTCAAACTTACCCACTGGATAAAAACTAAATTAATAACCCAATATTATACACCAATGATGGTAAACAATTAATTTTACTTCCAACACCTTTATTTAAAGAAATTTCTTTTCAATTACATGATAACCTTGGCTAAATTTATTCACATTCTTATAAAACTATCACTCAAATAATCATACAAATATGATGAAATAAGTATAATTTATTGTATACTCTCTTTATACATTTTTAATATTGATTTGAAAGTAGCAATTTTCTATGCTTTATTAAAAGAAAATTTTAAGGCTTTTATAAATTGACAAAATTATTAAAACAAATTTTAAAATTAAGCTAACTATACATGTGTTTATTGTTCAAAATAAATGAAAAGTTTATTAGAATCAACATTGTTGATTTTTTTGTTTGGAGAAATCAGTAATTCAGTAATGAAGATTCTAAATAAAAAATTACAGTTTAAAATTTGCCAACCTCAAAGTTGTAAGTGGATTTCAAAACCGATATAACTAGAAATATTTAGTTAATATTTTCAGAAACATTTTTCTGTTTGGATTTTTCAGTACATTTTACTGTTTGTGATTCTGGGTGCAATTTTTCAGTTTTTGGTTTCATTTTTTCTGTTTGTGGCTTTTGGTAAGTTTTCCCTGTTTGAGCTTTTGGATAAATATTTCTGTTTGTATTTTTGGCTACAGTCTGTCTGCTTGTGTTTTTGGGTACATATTTTTGTTTGCTTTTTTTAACAGATTTCTCTTTTTGTGGTCCTGGGTACACTTTTTTATTTGCATTCTTACCCAACTTTGATAAACTTGGGAGCTTGGCTCCAGGATCTATCGGCATCAGATTCTCCAATGGTTGTGGGTTCAGGTTTGTAGACAACTCTCCTGGAGCTGTTGGACTATAACAGCACCACAATATAAACACACATTTAAACACTAAACGATAAAAAATATTGTATAAATTGTAATTGAATAAGATGTGTAGGTTAAAAAGAAATAAAAGGTTATAAAATGTAAGGCCTATTTTGGACTTTTCCTAGTAATGTTTACACAAATGCCTCAAGCCAAACATAGATAGCGATTGGTGTGAATCTATAGTCTATAGAGCTAAGCATAAAAGGTCAAGATACATTGAGTAAGAAATTGTTGTAAACAGAAGATTTACATTTGCTAAGCATAATATTTTTTTACATCAGTGATGAGAGGCAATTTTGTAGCAGTGCACTAAAACTGTTTTGTTTGTCTGTAGCTGTCAGTGTGATTGTAAGCATGAAAAGTTGAATCTCCATGTGGTGTTTGGGGAGCTGTTTAGCTGTTTGGCAGTGCAGTGTAACTGTTTCTTTGACTGACACTAGTTGACTGGCTAAATGAAATAAGGTGATTGTTGTGTACTTGTTCAGTACACTTTGGATTTATCTACCTCATTTTTGTGTTTGATGAAGTTAAACTAGTTGCCTGACTAAATTAAATAGGGTGATTATTGTGTATTTGTTCAGTACACTTTTAATCTATCTAGCCTTGGATAATTGTGTAGTTAAATTAATGATTTTGAACAACTAGAGGAACACCATACCATCTTAACACACATGAGAAACAATTTGTGACAGTGATCCAAATGATTTTTAAGACCTTAGTATGTTAAGCAAATATGCCAGCATCATGTCTTGCCTCCATTACTTTCTCAAACTAGGGTACCTAGGTAAACTTAGGGACATTGCTAAGGAGTTAGGCCGGTGAATTAAACTCGAGACTTTTGGATTAGTAAACTAGAGCCCTTTCTCTCAACCACACTATCCCAGTAAGGAACAGAAGGTATCCCATTAATCATGAACTACAGGATCTATAAGGGACATTTTTTCATGGATCAGAATAGTAAACTAGGGAGAACTAAAGTTCCAGGAATCTTTTACATGTTACACTGTGAGCATGGCCTATGACGTGATCTAAACATGAATAATGCAATGATGAATGTGCATGTATACAGAAACATAAAACAAAGCTGCAATAAACATCATTATCAAATAATTACCCTTGAGAATTTGAGACTTGATCAGAATTAGCAACAAACTCAGTTTCAGCCAAACAATATGAGACTTCTGGGTTTAAAATTTCACACAGCATCTGTGCAAAATACAAAATACAATTTCAGTTCAGAGTGTACAATTTTTTAATTTTAAAAATATTAGTTAAGTAATTTCCTTAATAGGTCTTGGTGCAAGAAGTAAAAATCCGTGAGGATAAAGGATTTTTTTAAATGTAGGCTTAAAATTAGTATTCAAAGTAATATATTAACAAACAAAAACTAAGAATAAGAAGTAAGCTTTGACTAGAAAAAAAAAGATAACTTATACCTTTTCTTCTCTGGAATTTATAATAGCAGTAATCAAATGATACAATTTCTCCAAATCTAAGAATTCCTGTTCTAAAACTGTAGAATTTGTTGATGTTAGAAATAGTTCATTTAATTTCTGAATAAAACCAAGCACACGGTCTAGATCTTCTCTGTGTAGTTTATGTAACTTTAAAATCTCTTTGCTTTCTTTCATTTGGACAAGTATGTCATCAGATATTTGCAATGATTTCTTAGTATGTATCTGTAACAGCCAAGAAAGATATGCAGTGGCAAATTGACGAAGTAATTCCAATGAAAAATCATCTGCCTGTTGTTTTGTCACTCCATATTTTACTTTGAACAATGCATCTTTTATGTTTCTCAGAGTTTTATCACCATCATCTGTGCTACAATTGTACATGTCATTTTGTGTTTTAATTTCTCCAAGGACATAAGCAAATTTAATCTCGAAGGAAGCAGCTAGCAGTTCAGATTTGTTTTGCTTAGCATCGATCTTAATCTGCCTAAATTCATCAATAAAACTTGAGTCTCCAATTTCTCTTTGTGATTCCTCTAACATTCTAATATCATTTTCAGTGATCTTATTTTCCTTCAGTAATTTAGTTTTGATTATCTCTCTCTTGAGTTGTCTATCTTTAATGACATTTTTGTAGCGCCTACATGCTGTGATGGGTGTAGAGCATACAGGACAAGCCAGGTACTGAGTCCCATCTGGGTCAAAACTTTGGATGTACTCATCTAATTCATCAACATAGAAAAGATGTAAACAACCAGGGATTTTTAAAATGAACCTTTTGATTGGATGATTTGAATCAGAGGTGTCTTCTGATTGGTCAGATACAGTTTTTAAAATTCCTGGAATAGAAGAGACTTTTTCACAGATGTTACAGGCACAAAGTTCACCACAAAGGCTTGAACATTTATGAGTGCATGAATGCAGCTTGTTTTTAACCTTTTTAGTACATTTCTTCTTACATGGCTGTCCAGCACACAACTCAGAGCACATTTTGGTGCATCTTGCATGTTGGCATGTGTACTTGCATGGCTCTTTACATGGTGCACAGGCTAGTCCACAAGAATAAGGTTGTTTAGAAGCTTTACAAGATCCATGTGGACATCTGGTTTTACATTGCTTATTGCAGGGCAGACAAGGAATGCCACAGAGACTTGCACATTGGTGCCCACAGGGGAGGATTTGATCACATTTTTCTTCACATGCAACATGTATCAAACCTTCCAGGCAGTTAGAACATGTGTCTTTACATGTATGTCCACAAGACAATTGTGCCCCACATTGTTTGGGGCAAGTAATTGATGATGGGTTTTTATTGCAAGGTATCCTGGAGACATGACCACATGGCCACATACATTCTTTTGGTACTCTGCATTCCTGGTGTTTTTCATCTGACTTGCATCTGCCACAAGTTCCAGAGCATGGATGCTCACAGTCTAGAATTTCCTTACAAGGATGTGAGCACAGAGCTTTGCTAGCATCAAGATGGCATTCAACATTGTTGACATGACCACAAGATGGGATTTCCTTTGGCACAAGAAATGTGCAATCCTTACAGGGCTGGAAACATTTCTTCTTGCATGGATGCCCAGCAGGACAAGATTTAGAGCAAGGCTTGAAACATTTGTAAGTTTTGTGTTCTGGGTCTGTACCATGACACTTCTGTCCACACGAGTGACCACAGGCCATTCTGAAATCACAAGGTTTCCCACACCCTCCTCCAGGACACTGCTCAAAATCTTTCTCAGAAAAGATTAGGACTTTAAAGTCTGGGTGATTCTGGCAACAAACTGGTAGACCTTCTCCAATGATTTGATTTTCATTTGCTGTATCAACAATTTTAGTCCACAACTTGCTCTGTGAGGCCAAGAGCTCAAAATTTCCAATGACAAAAAGGCCCTTCTTGGCTCTAGACAAGGCCACACAGACTCTGTTGTCCACTTTTAAGAACCCTACACTGCTGTTGTCATTACTTCTCACTAGGGATAAAATAATGATTTCATTTTCTTCCCCTTGGTAGTTGTCCACAGCTGTGACTCTGACTTGCTCATCAAACTTTGAGGCTCTCATTATCTTTTTGATTTCAAACACCTGCCCAGTGTATGTCGCAAGTATTGTAATCTGTGTTGGTTCATAGCCTTGAAGTAGGAAATACCTGCACAGAGCAACAGCAAATTTAGCTTCATGTGTGTTGGCTTTACTTTTTGTATCTTCAACTCTAGCTTCCTTTTCTTTGTGGTTTATGAAAAAAATATCTTTCTCTACCCCACGGACATGGTCATAAAGACTTACAGAAGCGTGGTCTTCAAGAGCAGGGTAAATATGTTTCATGATGGTGGAAATCTCTGGGCGCATTCTGTGTTGCTCTTTCAGCACAACATGGGGCACATTGTTTTTGATGAGTCTCTCAAAGAGGGAAATCTCTAGCCCAAAGTCCCTAGCCAGTTGATAGACAGTTGGGTTGGGTCGCAGCTGTTGGTGATCTCCAATTAATATGAGATGGTTGCATTGTTTGTTGAGGGCTGTGACAATATGAGACTCCAAGACCTCTGCAGCCTCCTCCACCACAATGATTCTACAACCCAGGGACTGAAGAACAGCTCGAATTCTTGCAGCACCGCTTGTTGTCATGCCAATCACTTTGGCTCTCTTTAAAAAGAACAAAGTTTCTTCACTGCTGATTTCTTGCTTCATCTTATTCAGTTCAGTGTAAACTTTTAGAATTTTTTCCATTTTCTCAGTTAAAGTGAGCTTGTACCTCTGTACCCACAGATTATACAAAGCAAATCTTTTATTCAGATCCAGTTCCCAAACATCATCAACACTACTTTCTTCTGTGTCAGTCATTGGTTTGACAGAAAACAGTTTTTTTCTAACTTGCTCATGTGTTAGAAACTTTTGTTTTGTAACCCAGTCCTCGCCCTCACTGTTGTAAGTTTGGTTCTCCTTTATTCCCATCATATCTGTTCTAGAAATGATTGATGCCAAACTGCCTTTTACTAATTTCAGGTGGGTTTTATAATTAGCACCGTCATTATCATTATCATCAACCATTCTTTCATTTTCAATATGTTTTGTTTCTTCTGCGTCATCAAAGCTATCTAAATCTTCACCAGCATAAAAACTAGTCAAAAGCTGGATGTCATCCAGCTGATCATCCAGTCCTCTGTGTAGCCCCAGTAACCAGCACTCAACCAGCCTGTCTTGAAATGTTTTTTCACTTTTAAATTCTTTTGTTATCCTTGAAATCTCCTCAAAAACTGAATTATGTAAAATTCTATGTGAAATGAACAAATGATCTGGCAACACTGATGTGTAAGATTGTTTTAAATTTGCTTCAAGACGATGTATTTCCTCTTGCGTGAAGTTGCTGTGTATTTGTCCAGATAAATGGAACTTATAATCACGTAACGCTTTTCTGAATTGAAACAGCCAAGTAGTGTACAAACTGGCTCTTTGTATGATTTTCATGTTGAGATCTTTAATTTTCCCAAAATGTATTTTTTTGGCTTGATTTGGCCATCTTAAGACTAAATTTGTCAAGTGACGTTTGATCATATCAGGAATAGCATGTTTTGGTTTGGTCCTAGTAGCTTTTAACCACTCAATTGTTTGGGGGACTCTACTCTTTTTATCTCTAGGCCTACACAAGCTTTCATAGTGTTCTGGCTTCATGAAGTTTTGTAAAACATTTTCATGTTCTAAAGTTGTTTCTAAATTGTTCATAGTATCATTTAGATGCTGAACTTGCTGTGAAACCTCTTTTAATTTTTCCATGCAGCGACTTCTAGAATTATGAACAGACTGGTTGTTAAACTCCTTGCCCTGTCTAGCTTGTTGCTTGATGTTATTGATATTAAATTTCTTCAACTTTTCTGAAGAGCTCTTGCCCCCAACACGAATGATCCCTTCCTCACAGAATTCCAAAACCCCTTCTAAAAACTGGTCTAAAGCGTGGTTGGTGTAACAGACCACAAGAATTGGATCCTCATCATTCCCTTGTTTTTCTGCCATGACTGTTTTATTCTCCAGTAGTACCTCCATTACCTTGAGACCAACATATGTTTTGCCAGTTCCTGGGGGCCCTTGGATCACAGCTATTTCCTTTGTAAGGGCTGCAATTGCAGCTAGTCTTTGTGATTCATTCAGGCACATTTCATAAGTGGGTGGCCATTTCACTGTGGTTAAGACAGGAAAGCTGGAATTAAATGTCTTATCAACTAAAAGACAAGATAAATCATAGTATGGCACTTTCAGGATCCCACCACAAGATAAAAGATATTTTGGTGGCTTGACATCTTTGTTACACTTTATAATGTATTCTTGTAATGGCAGGTTAGATGACATTTCTTGAAGGCCCTCCAGTACGTGGCAATAAGATTCATAGTAGGCGGTTGTTTCAGCCATGATAAACACATTGCGTGATGTTGAGTTGAAGGCAACATCATGTCCACTCTTTATATGCACTGTAATACAGCCTTTCACTAGTTCTGTTTCATCCCGGTTAGCAACTGTTGCAAAAATGACAGTCTGAAAATTATCTTTGGATAGACATACCAGTGACCCATACATCAATCGCTTAGAACTCTGCCATTTAACCTCTTTCATTTTTGATACATCAAACTGTAAAACATGTTCTATGCCATCATTGAAGACAATGCCAGTAATGTGAACATCAAAATATAACCTCAAATCAGAGCACCTGTAGTCTTTCTTGCATCCATTAGAAATAAATTCATTGATCCCCTGCCTCAAGGGTAGGATAAAGTCTTGGCGCATGAGTCTAAACTGGATGTCCAGGTAATGACAGGCGTCTTCATACACACCTTTGGTTATTGCTCGTCTTAGGAAAGGGTGAGCATCTTCTTTTAAGTCAGCAGCCTCTGGGATGACAGACAATGACATGAAATCTTCTGGTGGTTGTTCATGGTCATCAGCCCCAAACTGACCAGCTTTTGATTTCCTGGCTTCTTTCTCTTTGAGTGACTTGCGCACATTATTCCCTTTTTCTTCAAGTGTTTTTATAACTTGTAAAACCTCATCCTCTGCAGTAAAAAATGCACGTGCAAAACTTGACAACTGTAATGTGGCTGCTGTGCATTTGTTTGCATACTCAGGCAACTTGTCAATAATTTCATTGATAATGTTGGCAAATGCAGAAAAAACTTCTTTAGCCTCTGCCCATGTGTTGTCTTGTATTTGTCTATTTGTAAGTAAATGCACCAAATGTTGCTCCAAGAAACGTGTCTGGCACAAAACTTGCAGGATTTTCTTAATTGATTCCTTTTGGTGCTGGGCAGTTAAAGCATGGTTAATTGCTTTAATGAGAAGTATCAGCCAATCATCTTCTACTGAAGGTCTTGTAAGGAACCCTTCCAACAAGGATTCTCTTGAGCTCATGTACAGGACAAGATCACCAGCATCATCTGTTCTTGCCCAGGATTCTAGCCTCTTTAGGCTGAGAGTTTCCTCCTCTTTTTGGTTGTCTCTCCATCGATGATGACCATAGTTCTCCCTTCTGTTGTCATGTTCACTATTTTTTCTACCTGATACTCCAACATCAGAATAACTTCTGTATGCACCTCTACCACTGCAATTTAATATTGATTTTACTCTCAGTAATTTTTTTAATTATATTAGAAACTTTGATCTGGGTCCAGGTATATGACTATTCAATTAAAAAAAATTTAATATAATTATTTAAATCACATTGTAGTGTGTTTAGTTTCACATTTTATATTGCTTCGTATTTCTACAGCTTAAAAAATAAGGAAGGCAATACATTTAGCAATACATTGGTCAAGGTCTATTTTTGTATAACATGGATTTAAATCCCTAAATGACCAGACACTCATCTTAAATCCTAATGCCTAATTATTGAAAGCAATAAAATAGTCTTACCCAAGAAAGCATCAATTGAGTGAATAATGACTAATTCTATAAGATAATTACCGGTCTTTTAAAAGCAAGACTATAATACTGATTGTAAACCTTAAATATAACTATAACAGTATTTTAAAAGCATTTTAGATAGCTGATTCTGCAACAATATGAAAATATAGAAGGCTTACTGTGATCTATATGCTGAGTATTGGGATCCATATCTGCCTTCATAGTTCTGTGATTCTGTTAGTGAACTTGTTGAGGGCCTGCCTTGAGTAGAGCTATAGTGAGGACCTCCGCCCCATCCACTTATATTCCCTCTATCTTGGTTGCTAAATTGATTTAAAATATAATATATTGATCTCTAATGTAATAAATAATTAATTATTATCACTTATATTTTACAGTTATTTAAAATTTTAGTAATTAGCTACACAGTTTAAAATTATTGTGCATGTGATATAAAACCTGAAACCCACCGGGATCTACTTGCTGAGTTTTGAAATCCAGCTCTCCCTCTGTGGCTCTGTGATGATGGTACAGGCCATGGTTGAGGCCTGCCTTGACCTAACCCATGGTATAGAGGTCTACCTCTGCCACTTAAATTTAAATATGAGCATTAAGACTTTAATTTATTTATTCTTATACAACTGTAGTTATAAGAATCTAGGATTAATATATATGTACACAATATTTTTGTTGTGTAATGTAAAAGTTAAGACCTACTTGAGTCTACTTCCTTGATATTGGGATATGTTTACACCTTCGTCTTTATATGATAGAATTACATTTACAGCTGTCCCTTGACCATGTCCACTATAAGGCCATCGGCTTCTATCACCTCTGAACCCTCTACTTTAGTAGAATTAAAAGTTTTTTTAAATATATATATATGTATATATATATATATATATATATATATATATATATATATATATATATATATATATATATATCAAATGCTATCACTCAGATTATATAATAATTACTTTTATGAACAAATAATTAATTGTCTTTTTTATATAGCAGCATTTGAATGAATGTTTAGGATTAATATTTTAAAACAGGCCCATTGTTCTTCTTATCATTCAGGTAGTCCAGGACCTGTCTTGTCCAGTAATGAAACATATAACTCATTTAGTTGAATAATATAATTAAAAAAATGTTTAGCTCTAAGGATTCCAGATTAGATGAAATCCTGTTTTTGTTTTATGCTGAATGCATAAATTTGAAGTAATAGGAATAAGAGTGGAAACATCAGCGCTTTTTCTTGTTCTGCATGTCATTAGTTGTCTGTTGTATCAACAATCTGTAGCTTATGTAAAGTTATGTTGCATATTTTCTAAGCTGTAGGTCTACATCTTAGTTGATAAATGATTGATTAGCTCACACTAACACTGTAACTTATTTTTGTTGTATTTATTAATCAGATCCTGCATGTAACTATAAGTCAGTATTTATTTAATATTTAAACCCCCAACATAATATTTTACAGCCTGTTATAATTTAAATTTTATTAAATGATTAAAATGGGTCTACTAAACTTACCCAGACATCATAAATGTAGACTAGACTCTTAGTAACTTCTTAAGGGATCATAATCATATTACTTTAATTATTAATAAGTAGGTACTTTATCATATAAACTTTATAAGTTTATAAAATAAAATATAATGTATTATTAGTTATTAGGCCCCTAGTATTATTGTATAGGCCTAACTATTTCTAATACTTTTAGAAATTAAAAGTTTGATCTAGATCAAGATCTATAGTCTAGGTCTAGATATCTAAATTTGTTTTACTAGGTCACAAAACAAGTTTTCAGTTTTAGTTCTGCTACTAGCTATCATTCGCTTTGGGGAGAACAGGTCGGTTTCCAAGAAGTGGCACGACCTAGATCTAGAGAAATATGGGTTAAGGGGTCTAGGATAGTCGACCTTTAAGTTGAAATTAGTTGAGAATTTAAAAATAGAAACGGTAATATCCAATCTTAGATTAAAAATAGCTCTGCCGGTGGGCTTAACTAGGCCATTGTTGAAAATGATTTTTTGTTCTTAGCGAAGTTTTCATTAAGAGATGATGCAAAAAATTCACAACTGGGAAAATATTTTATAAAGAAAAGGTAGATTCTAAGGTAAGAGAGGGGTATAGTACTTTAGATCTAGAGATAAATCTAGATAGTAGATAGAATAGGCAGTTTAGTTTCATGGGCGGGGGTGGGTAGACTGTTGTGTAGTTTTTCTAATAAGGGCAGACAATTGAATTACTACCAAAATATCAACTTAAACTTAACAAAAATTTGTTTTGAACCATATTTGGGGGTAGGCCTACCCTCTTGTTTTTACTACAATGAAATATTCTTCTTCTCTTTCCTGTAATTTTTTACTACATTTTAAGATCAGCTTTACAAAAGAACCATTCAACCTTTTAATTCAATTTTTTTGTCAGCAAATAAGTTAGGCTAGGTCTTGCCTAGCCTAATTACTAATTATTATAATTTTGATTAAATTTTTAATTAGACCTATGTGCAAAATAATAGCGAATTACAGCTATAATTAAATTTTCTGTATTGTTTCAGGTGCTAATATTATTGTAACTTTTGTTTGTGCTAAATTGTCATAATTTTTTTTCAAAATACAATGTTTAAAAAATCGGTTGCAGTTTTTGTTTGTTTCTTTTAGTTATCTCCCATTTACAATATTTTCTGTTATTCGCCCCATAACAAAAATTGATTTCTCAGCTTCTAATTAATATTGAAATATTATTAGATAACAATATAAATGAAGTATCTATGTAAAGCTGAACTTCAACACCAAGTAACTAAAGGTTTATTTATAGTATAGATCTAGATCTAGATCTAGATTTCTAGTTAAATCTAATATTAGACTAGATCTAGTAGCGTTCTAATCTAGAGTACAGTCTCTACTGAACTCTACTCTAGACTCTTTTCTAGATCTAGATCTAGATCTAGATCTAGATCATTTCTATTTTCTAGAGACGCCCTCTGCCACTGTAATTAATAAGCTAAATTAAAATTAGCCTGTATTATCTTTATAGGCCTTATCATATCATACTAATACTTTTCTATAGTCTATCTATAAGGTCTAGGCTATTTAACTATTTATTATTTAAAATAAATAGGCCTAATTAGGCTACTAATTTAAGCAGCCTACTACTAACTAATACTACTAATACTAATAGTACTAATAGTATTAATTAACTATTTCACTATTCATTAGTATTAGTTACGTATTATTTTATAAGTAGCCTAATGTAGTAATATTTATATTAAATAATAAATAGGGCCACAGCCATAGGCTGCATTTAGAAATTTAGTAGGCCTATAGAAGTGACTGTCAGCCTGTTCTAGAATCGAATAGATCAATTCAATATTATTATTAAATCAATAATCAATAAAATTACTTAGGCCTATAATAGGCCTATAGTGTAATAAGTTATATGCCTACTAAATTAAAATTATACTATGAGTATAGTTAATAAATAATTAAAATATAATAATATTTTAAATATAGGCCTATTAATAGTTATATCCTATATACTAATAGGCCTATGTTAATATTATAGAATATATATATATATATATATATATATATATATATATATATATATATATATATATATATATATATATATATATATATATATATATATATATATATATAGGACTATTGATTTAATAATAATATTGAATTGATCTATTCGATTCTAGAACAGGCTGACAGACACTTCTGTACTAAATTTCTAAATGCAGCCTGTGGCCCTATTTATTATTTAATATAAATATTTGGCTACTAATAAAATAATACTATTAGTATATATATATATATATATATATATATATATATATATATATATATATATATATATATATATATATATATATATATATATATATATATATATATGCCATATTAGTAGTCTCAGAAAGACACATAGGGCAAATGATATAGAGTTCTACTGTTTCAATGACCTCATCATACACTGGCATACAAGGGGTAGTGTGGTCAGCCCTATACCCAGATACCTCAGGTTCGAGCTGAGTGGATGTCTGAAAGGCTCAAAACCTGGATCCAAATTTTAGAATTTCATGTTGGAAATTGTAAGCTCTACTATACGGCCATGACGTCCCTGTATGTGAAAGAATGCCTATATAGTTTTAAGATTATTATAGAAGCATGTTTTTATTTAGGTTAAATAAATAATATTACTTTTTTGTCTCCAGGGAAAAATGTGCAATATGTGATTCAATCTAGGTGTAAATTGAAAGTCTTCAAATTTTTGTAAACTTTGTTGTCGCTCATCATATCAAATAACTACAGAAGATTTTGTTCAAAAAGGTTAAAAAGCAGGCAGAAAGAATGAATGATTTCAGGAAAATACCAATATGCACTACAAAGTCTTCAAATTTTTGTACACTTTGTTGTCGCTCCTCTCATCAAATCAAATAACTACAGAAGATTTTGTTTAAAAAAGTTAAAACGCAGGCAGAAAGAATGAATGATTTCAGGGAAATACCTATTTGCCCTACAAAGCAAATTCTGGATTCAAATCTTGACCTTCTCCTGCAAGACATCAACATTGAAGGTCCATTCTCTAGTACACACCACTATGCGGATGCAATGTTTAGACTGCTTTATGCTGACTTTATCCAGCCTTTAAAAGAAGCATTAGCTGATGTGTATTCTAAGAAAAGACATAACATTAAATGCTACACCAATGTCCAAATTATTGGCATGGATGTGGATGATGGCATCCATCATATGTTGTCCCTGGGCACTGGTGGTTCAGGTTCCAGCTTCAAGAATGGAAGCCTCTTATGCTTATCTTGTGATCAATTTAATTCAATCGGTTTTGCAACAGTGATTAACAAAGACAAAAATAAGCCAACAAAGGAAGTTGTCTTTGTGAAGTTTGAAAACTGTTTGGATTTTATTTTTAGCTGTGCAAGTGATACCAATTTTATAATGTTTGAAAGCCCATGTTTTTTTGAAGCTTACAGCCATGTTTTAGAGGGATTGAAAGAAATGGCTTCCCTTCCTCTGCCAATAGAAAATTATCGTGTATTTGGTTATACTAAAGTGCAACAGCCATCATATTTGTCAGGTTCTTCTCAGTATAACTTGTCAACTTTGTTTAGGCAAGGGGTGAATGCCCAATACTTTAATCCGTTCTCTCCATCCCAGTGGCCTGATGCTAATAGACTAGGTCTGAACAAACAGCAACTGGAGGCTGTCAAATCTGCCCTCACCAAAGAGTTGTGTTTGATTCAAGGACCTCCTGGTACTGGAAAAACTTTCATCAGTCTTGTCATCATGAGACTGCTTCTAGAGAACAGATGGGTGGTCATTTCTCATAGAAACCCCAGTCCGATTCTGGTAGTCTGTTATACCAACCATGCTTTGGACCAGTTTCTTCAAGGTGTTTTACAGTTCTGTACTGAAGGTCTGGTTAGAATTGGGGGCAACAGTACCTGTGAGGACCTTGTGAGATTTAACCTGAGAAATGTGAGAGAAAACTATCAAAAGCCGCGTGGATTCTTTAAATCTATCAATGGTTGTAATCGACAGCTGAAGAAGCTTGGAAGAAGTTTGAAAGAAAATTATGAAAAAATTTGCTATGCAAATGATTTCATTCTTGATGTGCTCCTCCTACAAGACTATATGAATCCTAGTCATTTTCAAAGTATTAGAAGTTCCTCTCATAATGAAGATATTTTATATTGCTGGCTAGGGGGAGATTCAAATAAAAATAATATAGCACAGGTCTTTGATAACTTAGATTCTTGTGACCCTATGGATTCTACAGAAGAAAATACACTGAGGCAACTCTGGAAATTAGACCAAACAACTAGATACAGACTGTATAAATTGTGGTTATCCAGATATTTGAATGAGATTAAAAGAAATTTTCTCATAAATTTAGAAAACTATGAAGCAGTGCTAGCCAAGAAAACGCAGGTTAGACAAGAAGAGGATTTGGCTATACTAAAAGCCTCCAGGGTTGTAGGTGTAACTACAACAGGAGCAGCCAAACGCAGAAAGCTTCTTCAAGCCGTAGGGGCGACTATTGTGATAGTTGAAGAAGCTGCAGAAGTTTCAGAGCCGCACACCATAACAGCAATCAGCCAACATTGTGAGCATTTGATATTGGTGGGGGATCACCAGCAGCTCAGGCCCAAGACAGAGTCCTACGAGCTGGCTAAAACCTTTGGTCTGGATATATCACTCTTTGAGAGGTTAATTAAGAATAATTTGAACTTCATCCAACTCAAGGAACAACATCGTATGCGCCCAGAAATTTCTATATACGCCAGGCATATTTACCCTGAATTAACTGATGGGGTTTCAGTTTTATTGAGGCCACCAGTCAGAGGTTTAGAGAAAAGTGTTCACTTTATAAACCATGCTTTTCTTGAAGACAGTGTTAATGCTACTAAGAGCAAAAGAAACAAATATGAAGCAAGGTATCTGACAAAACTGTGCCAGTATCTGATACTTCAGGGTTACTCTGATACAGAGATATCCATTCTTGGGATGTATGAGGGGCAGGTCAGTTTAATCAAACAGTATGTTAGTAAGGTGCCTGCTGTGAGGGATGTTCTGGTGACAACTGTTGATAATTTCCAAGGAGAACAGAACAAAATAATTCTTTTGTCTTTGGTGCGGAGTAATGACCGAGAAAATATTGGGTTTCTGAGTTCCGACAACAGAGTCTGCGTGGCCATGACCAGAGCACAGCATGGACTCTATGTGCTCGGCAATATTGATTTGCTTGCTCGGAAAAGCAGACTTTGGGGAAATATAAAACAATCAGCTGAGCTGGAGAAATGTATTAGTCCAATATTGAAGTTGACTTGTGTGCAGCATGATAGCTACCAAATTAAAGACATTTCTAGGTTTGATGATGTTATAAAGACTGGCGGGTGTGGGAAGCTATGTCAGAAAAAACTGACCTGTGGGCATGTCTGTCCTTATCTTTGTCATGTCACTGACCACAAAGATTTGGTGTGTCAGCAGGACTGTCTCAATGTATGCTGGAGAGGCCACCCTTGCAGAAAGCTTTGCTCTAATAACTGTACTCCTTGCTGTAGCTTGTTAGCATGTGGACATACATGTTCTTTACTTCCTATTGGGACATCAATGAGGGCGAAAACAATATTGTGTGCAAAACCCTGCCGTAAAATTTGCTCATCAGGTCATTCATGTCCTCTAAAATGTCATGAAGTGTGTCCTGATTACTGTAAGAGTTGGAAGTGTTGGTTGATTTCTCTATGGATCCCTGATGATGGCTTTAAAGATCCATCTGAAAGAAAAATATTTAAGTCTGGATCTTAAGATCCCTGATGCTGGCTTTAAAGATCCCTCTAGAAGAAAAATATCTGTCTTGAAATGTTGGTTAGTTTATCTCAGGATGCCAGATCATAGGATCCCTTTAAGAGAAACTATATTTTCATTTGCTTTTCTAAACAAATATTAAACTAAAACATGAAGGGCCTTAGTTTGTGTCGTGTTAAGAATATTTTTGACAGACACAGATATACCTACAAACATTAAAGTTCAAAGTCGTAAAGTGACAGTATGGAAGGAGTTTCAATACCTTCACTCTTTTAAATATTTAAATAATTTGTACATAGCCAATGCAGTATTTAAAATCTGCACTACTCCTATTACTATTAGGAAAACACTATGAAACCAATCCTGGATAGTGAACTAGTGCTTGTTCCAAAGAATTCAACCACTGTTCTTGTTACATATTCAGGCATTTGGTTTTGACAATATTTACAGTGATAGGAATTATACAGCAATGGCATTAGGTTTGTAAATGGCCTAAGTGAACTAGAACTGTGATATTGAAACTTTATTTATTTTCTTATGTTTTATTCAAATTTAATTTTTTTTTAATGAATTAAAAATAATAGTTATATTTTTTCATTACTAAAATAAGTTTGTTAAAAAAAAAAAAACAACATCTGCACTAAAGTAGAGCTTTTATAAAATATAGATGTCAATGTCAATACTTGTCAAATGATTTTTGTTGAAATCATGTTTAAAAAAAAATTAAATGTGCATGTTTGTCAGTTGATTTATCATGCTATCAATATAAATTGATTTTATCACTAGTTGGCCTATAGGTTTGTAAACATCTGCAGTGAGATAGAGTTATCAAATAGAGATAGCTACTGTCAAGTAGGCTTTTTGTTGAAATACATTGTTTAAAGATACTCAAAATAAATCTTATGATATTAAAATATATTTAAAAACAAAGTAACTATTTCTTCAAACAAGTTCTTTTTCATTTTCCCATTATGCACAAAAACACAAGAGGCAGGTGAAGTAGAGTTCATCTGTTTCAGTGACCTCAGCATATGCAGGGATAGTAGAGGTCAGCACTATTCCAAGCTGTCTTTATTTCCCCTAACGTGAGTAAGGTACCCAATAAGAGCTGAATGGACTCAGGGAACTTCTACTGACTTTTGTGGATGATGATTTTTACTTCACCCTCCCCATATTGATAATAAGCCTCCCCTTCTTTTCAAAGGTGTGACACTATTTACAGCGCCCCCTAGGTGAATGAGTAGGTAGAGGATGTTATCGCTTTCAATGCTAGTTAGTTTTAAAATTGTGAGCTTACAACCGCAGTTATACATTCTCAAAATAGATATGGAATTAATTATACACAAGTTAATGTAGATCGAACCAAGAGCAACAGCTGTTAAGGTCATCAAGCTGCTGCTTGGGTAGGGAAGGATGCTATCAAAATAAAGCCGATTATAACAAAAAAGGCTAACATGAACCAAAAGGTAACTGTCAAATGGTCCCCAGCTGAAAAGCCAACGTGAACAATGGCCTTCAGCATGCCTATATAGTCTATTAACATGGGCATTTTTTACCCCCCCCCCCCCCCCCCCCCCTCGACCCATAATCAACTCATCAAAGTTTCGGGCCTATTTGTTAAACGGAGGAGACGCGAAATGGTAGTAGCAGAAAGGAAGATGTGCGAGCGTCGATCACGTGACAACTTTTCTCATGACCCTGAACTTAAGAAAACCACCTTGCAGCTGCAAAGTTTTGGCTACGAAATTGTTCATAGCCGCCGCCGTCACGAACACATTTCAAGTTCAATCTACGTGGTGCCGACATTTTGCAACCTTAAGCGTTGAATACAACCTTGCAGCTTTCGAGAATTTTGACCAGCGCACTGAAATATCTTCATTTCTCTAGTTTACCTCGATACAAAAGTTGTGTTAAATTCGTTCTGCCAGTATGTTAAGGTAGAGACTTTTTACGTTAATACAAACGCCAATAATATAAGTTTAGTATTACATAGACCTATTTATAGGCTTTTTGACGCCCTCTCCCTCCCCATTTATTGTCGACACAAAACGGGAGAAGGCGAACCAGCACAATCCCCTTTTGAAGCATCGATTTCTTTCTAAATATTAACAGAGCTCATGAAACACGGAGCAGAACACAAGGTTGTATAACACATTAAAAGAAGTCTTTTAAAACTACAAAATAACGGCTAAAATTTGGCTTAAAACACAAACTCAAAAAGTGTCTCAACACATTTTCTGAACCGTCCACTCTCCACACATCGTCGCTGAAGTCCCTAAACTCTCGTTCCGCACATTTCATGGTGTGTGACGTCAGATGAACGCCCCCTCCCTCCCTCACACACCTTCATTAAAGTCCAAAGGACTCCCCCTACTCTCTCATAGGACTATGACCTCAATTATGGATCATACACACAAACACATATTAGATGATGAATACCCATAAGCCGGAACAAGATGCAGCACATACATTCGTGTAACAAATTGAACAAGTCAAATAAACTTTTTATTTTTCTGTGCTCTTATCAAAGTTGTGACCTTTTGCCCCATGCTGGGAAAAGTAACACGCAGTGGCGTAGGTAGGGGGGGGGGGTCATAACCCCCCCCCCTTATATCCCTCGGTATACATATATATATATAAAGTATGGGGGGGGGGGTGCAAATCGAAAGTTTGAGAGGGTGGGCACATCGAAAGTTTGTCCCCGGGTAAAAATTTGAACCCCCCTCTCTTGAGACGATCCTGGCTACGCCACTGGTAACAAGTCATGGGACAAGAAATGACTTCAGTTCAATCAAAAGCAACAAGCTTTAATGAGACTGAAATAGTTAGTAGTGGCACAGTGGTTTACGATATCAACACTGGGTGACACCAAATAGAAAAAATCCAATGTTATAAAGAAAATAATATTTCATGCTGTTATAATTGTGAGAGTGAAATACATTTTGAAGTACCACAGCATAATTTAGCCAACAGCACCGCGTGACACCCCACCTAGTGACGCCACTGGGTCAGCGTTTCTCACAAGGCTTTTTTCTCCGGGGGGGGGGGGGGGGGGGGAGGGGGCACTTGATATTTTCGGAAGAGATGTCTGGAAGAAACTCTTCCCTGGGTACGAATTATCATGATCACAGCAAAATAACTTTTTTTTTTAAATTGAGCCAACACAAGTAAAGGGGGTCATCCACAAATGACGTCACGCTTTTTTTGGACGATTTTTACCCCCCCCCCCCCTCCCCTCCGTCACACGTCGTCACAAAATGCCAGACACCCCCCCCCCCCCCCCTAAAATGACGTCCCACCTCAGCCTACAACACCCCCCCCCCCCTCAAAATTGCTGTTGAACTTTTCTTAAAACATCGATATTTTTCCAAAATCTTGTCAGAACTCCTATTACAATTTACGAAAACCGTTTTCTAAAACGCGAAATAACGGTTAAAACTAGTTTTCTAACATTACTTTTTTTATAATGCAAAAAAAGTGACGTCACACCATCTGAACCCCCCCCCCCCCTCCCTTTCCTTCATCACACACCATCACAAAATTACGCCCCCATCCCCCCTACGATTGTGACGTCATTTATGGACGAACCCTAATAAACAAAACGAACGATGAAGCCTAGCTACTTGTCGTGGTTACACAACTAGGCTCATATATTATTTTTAATCTTGCACTCTACCACTACAACGTCATTTTTTTTTGGCAATTATACATCCACTTTTCAATTCATAATTTGCTTTATCAAATGCTTTTGCTGAGTACATTTTTGAATGAAATGCCCCTTGACAACTTATTTGAATATGTGGCCCACAGGTAAGACACAAGGTAGCTCATATTAGCCTAGAGCTAGTAGCAGACAATAAATATTTAAAAACTACTATAAAATAATTTAATCAATAATTATGTAAATCTATAAAGATAATAATTGTGTTACGCTTAGTAAGGATGACTGTTAATAACACACTTTTGTTGCAATGTTATCTAAAATCAAAAAGCCCAATGAAACTGAAACTGTTGAATTCAAATAATCAAAATGATTTTTTTTCCATTTCTTGTAGGCGTTCGACACGTTTTTATTTTTCTGCTGACGTAACTATTGATTTTTTACTGCACACGGTCGTTGGTTTCGGTTTCGTATTCATTCCGAGAACACATACTATCTTGTGTATTTTAGAATTCGGAAAAGCTGAACTATAAATAGACCTCAAACATGTAGTAGCAGGTGTGTTCGTTGAATAAAAACAGAAACGTCTGTGTATTTTACAGTAGTTATGATAGGACACCATAGAATCTGGCTGATAGTAAAAAGAAAGATCTAAATGGTTTGCTGAATGCGACGTTTGTTAACCAAAGCTCTTGTCTTAAGCTGTGTTTACAAATTTAAATAACGAAATCTGTTATCTACTTTAGCTGCCAGTTAGAGCTTTGAGTTAGACTTATTTAATATTTACACTTGTTTTAACAGTTTATATTATTCTGTTCCGGCAACTGGAAAACCAATAAAGGTAGGTTCATATTTAAATATTATATAATTTAGCTATTAGATCTATGTATTTAATAGTATTTATGTTTAGCCCAACGATATATCATTCATATGTAACGAATTTTTAAATGGTTACTCAAATAATATATTATATAGGCAAATAGAGATATATAATTTTAGATCTTGTAATAAAAGTCGTGCTATTTCTTACAGGACTATTCCGGATAAAGACATAAAAGTATGCTAATATATTTATTATCTGCTAGATGGAGTTTCGCCGATAACGAATAATAAAGTTTAATTCTAAACGCGTAAAACATGTGCCTTGATAATGATATCTAATTTATCTAGGACTAGATATATGTATTCCACCAATCATTATAGGCGTTAAATAAATATAGCAGGACAAATGGTGTCATGGAAAAAGTATCAGACACAATACTTCACGGCTAACTATTTATAGCATTTTAATCTATGATGATTTTAGTCGATTTTAACATCATTGAATTGATTGTCATATGATTTTTAATTAACTGTCTGTACACATAATAGTTTTGAGAAAAGGTTTGTCGCATAGTTTTAGGCGACACGAACGAATGTAGCGGTATATATTAGCGAAAATCGTTTTTACATCACGTCGGCGCTGTTAGCAATGTCCCTAGGGGTCATCCATAAATGACGTCATGATTTTTTGAAGATTTTTACCTCCCCCACCCTCCTCCGTCACAGTCACGAAAACCAGACCCCCCCCCTAAAAAGACGTCACACATCAGCCTACAACCCCCCCCCCCCTCAAAATTGCAAGTGGAATTTTTTCTTAAAATACGATGTTTTTCCAAATTCTTGCCTGAACTCTGTCATCAGAATATTTGAATTCCTATTAAAACAGTTTTCTAAAATGCGAAATAACGGCTAAATTAGTTTTCTAACATTGCTTTTTTTTTTTATAATGCAAATGTGACGTCACAACATCTGAGCCCCCACCCCCTCCCCCTCATCACACACCGTCACAAAATTGCGGACCCTTCCTCCCCCCTACGAATGTGACGTCATTTATGGACGATCTCTTTATCATATATAATGACACAGCGTTTCATTATTTATTTTAGCGTTCTAGTAACGAAAATGGTAATGACTAAAATTAGATGATGGTTAGGCAACCGTTTTATTTAATGTAAAAGTCAAATGTTTCCTTCCACGCTCTTCAGCGTGTTAGGCAAACGAAGTAGAGTTCATCTGCTGTAGTGACTCGGCATATAATGGGTGGTCAACATTCAATGTGTGCTGACTATAGTTAAACATTACTTCATCAAATAGCCCCGTCGTGTCAGGAAACAGGCTTATCTTTTGAATTTTTTTATTTGAACATGACATATTTTAGTCCAGATTCTAGTGGTCTTATCACCTACTGAACTGTCTAGCTTAGTGTAGATTCTAGTGGTCTTATCACCTACTGAACTGTCTAGCTTAGTGTAGATTCTAGTGGTCTTATCACCTACTGAACTGTCTAGCTTAGTGTAGATTCTAGTGGTCTTATCACCTACTGAACTGTCTAGCTTAGTTTCATTGGAGTCACTAGGTCAGGCGACATCGGTACGGTTATGAGTCATGCATTTATAATGTCAATACCGAGAGAGAGCAGCGTCTTTTTTTCAGGTAGCTCTCCCTAAGACTGGCGGAAGTAGGGATGGGGGGGGGTGGGGGGGGGGTACACTGCAACCAATGCACATCCACCGCCACCACGCCCGGATCAAAAAGGAAAAAACAAACATTAAATTTAATATAGGAATTATATACTTAAACTGGTGTCCGCCCCTCCCCCGGAAGTGTCAAGAGTCGTTCTCCCGGAGCAAATGTGTGAAAAACCAATATTCCCGAAAGAGATAGAGAGAGCTCAATGATTAATTAATTAAATCACTTTTTCTATGCTATAGTATAATAATGCAATTTTTGTCAAGGAAATGAGCCCCCACCCCTTCCTCTTCTAGGAAAAACATGAGTCATGAGACATACACAATTATAACCCCACTCCCAAATGGTCACGACGGAGATTTAAAAATTGTATAATGAATGCAGTAAATATCATTAAAAAATTGATTGATGAATTGTTTTTTCACTAATTCGTAAAACTTTACCAATCTCTCTGTCCCGTGTAACATAATTTACATACATTTAATCATATCTGTAACATTAATCGGTTATACTTTTGTGTATAGACCTTATTAATATTACCAATAGAACTACTGTTCAAACGTTTGTTGAAATAAACTCTTGTAACATACATTTCAGATTGCCCTAAACCATGGACGTGAAGCCTTCAGGCCGCAGAAATACGGCCCGACGAACTCAAACAGCTGGCAAGTCTCCAGTAGCTGTCATCGGCCCAGCCAGGCTACAAGAATGGGCCAAGTACCACAGCCAGCCTTCAGAGCTGCTCATCAGGCTGATGTCCAGCTTATCAGAGATAAACGAGTTTGTCAACAGAGGCTCCGTGAAGGCCGCCCTCTTGAAGAGCTTTGTTTTGTGCTTGGAAAAAGTCGTCCAGGCTAAAAACCACGAAAATAATTTTTCAAAATTACTGGAGGTTTTAGCCTCATCATGTTTTTACCAACAGCACGTGTGCGGTTACTTACAAAACAATAACTGTAAACTGTCGAAACAAATCGCAGATACTGTAGTTAAACTCATTCGCGAAACTTCGCGTCAAGTGCCTTCAGCTAGCCACGCATGCCTTGATGTATTGACATTTATACAAAAGAACTACAAACAATTGGATTGTGACGTGACAGCTTTAAATGAAACAATCCAACTTTTTAATTTATCTGAAAGCACACAGGTCAAAAAAGATAAACATCGTTTGAAAAAATGGAAAGACTCTCAAGAACCACCAAACGATATTAGAGACATATCGATTTTTCCGACTAAACGAGATTTGGATACTGATTTCAAACCCTTTCTACGCGCCAACAAAGTCTGCGGCGCTTACAGAAACAAAAAACATTACTTTGACGTCATGTTTCGTTTAGTGCGCGAAGATTTTATCCAACCACTTCGGGAAAGTATTAAAACGTACCAATCAAAGGGAAAATCTGATTATGAGTTCTACGAAAACGTGAGAATCACCGGCGTGGACCTGATGAACGGCATAGAGCACATCCTGCAGCTGGACAGGGACAAGGTGCGACAGGTCAAGTGGGACACTGAGAGGCGACTCATATTCGGGAGTCTCGTCTGTATTTCTAACAACAAGTTCCAGACGATCATCTACGCCACAGTCTCACAAATGGACAGAGACGAGCTGAAGAAAGGCGTCCTGCGGGTCAAGTTCCAGAACTGCTTGGAGGATGTCTACAAGTTTTCCAGCGAGGACCGGTTGACCATGACAGAAAACCCGTCATTGTTTGAGGCGTATCGCCATGTACTGGAGGGTTTACAGGAGATGATGGAAAGGCCTTTGCCAATGGAGAAACATTTGGTGTTTTGTGACACAGATTTAAAAGAACCAGCGTACCTTACCAGTACAACGAAGTACAACCTCTCCGGTGTAATGAAAGACGGCAGCAAAAGCAAGGCTCAGCTGTTTAGAGCGCTACAGCCGGTATCCTGGCCTGGGACCGAGAAGATGGCATTGAACAGCCAACAGCATGCAGCAGTAAAAACAGCACTGACGAAAGAACTAGCTCTACTACAGGGACCACCGGGAACGGGCAAGACCTACGTTGGTTTAAAGCTGATGCGGGTTTTGTTGGAGAACATCGCCCAGAGAGTTCCGGGAGTCGTCGGCAAAGACGAGAAGCAGATCCGAGACCCGGTGCTTGTCGTCTGCTACACAAACCACGCGCTGGACCAGTTCCTGGAGGAGATGTTGGACTTCTGCCCAGACGGCGTCGTCCGGGTCGGCGGCAGGGGCGACTGTGAAGCGTTGGAGAAATTTAACCTGACGGAGCTTCGGCAGAAACACAAAGGCTCGAACGGTTCGAAAATAATTTTACAAGAATGCCAGAAGGAAATGAGCAAAATCGGGCGGCAAATTAAAAGTTTGGCGTACAGAATGCAAGCGGCTCAGTTAAGTATTCAAGATGAGAATCTTTTAGTTCACTGGATGAAGGCAAGTCATAGGAAGTATTTTTGCAATGCTGGTGCCAAGAAAAAAGTTCTCCGGCAGTGGATGAATTCCTCAGACATTGACTTTGAGAAACAGTTACAAAACTCCGTGGAGCGTCATTTGATTAATCTCTTTCTGACAGAGAAAATGTCGCTCGATGATAAAATCTTTAAACCAGATTCTAAGAAGATAAAGGCATATCACAAAACAAAACTGTATAGATTTTGGAGCTTGCAGTATCAAGACCAGTATGGGTTCTTACCGACAAATACCCTGCTCGGAGACAATGTACTAATGCCGTTTGTTGGACCCGCTGTCATGAAAGTAATCCGAAAGTCAAAAATGGGAATTAAAAAATGGCTGCTTGGCAAAAGCGTTAAAGAACAGCTTGACGCAATAGAGGAGATTCAAAAAGATCGTTCAAAATTTGAGGCAAGAATATTCGACAACAAAGAAGAATATTCCAGAATAAGAGACCAGAGAGTATTTGGTGATGAGGAAGAAGAGCAAGGTAAAAAAACTGTTAAAAGTAAACGAAAGTTTACAAGAACTCTGGCTGACTTTCCAAAAGCGAAGATGCTTGGTGTTGTCATAGCAGATGAGAACGACGAGGAAGAAGATTCAGACTGGCAAACGGTCACGAAAAAATGGTCCTTTAGCCAGGTCTTGAGGAGGCTGAGGGCTACCCAACCCATGACGGTCGCTGAGGAAAACGATGTAGAGGATATCTTGCAACTGGAGCTTGAAGACCGATATCGCCTATACAAACTGTGGGTAACCAGGTTTCTTAACAGCATGAATATGGATATGCGGGGGAAAGTTGAAAAGTATGAAAATGCACTGATGAGAAAAATGGAAGTGAGACAAATAATTGACGGCGAGATACTGAAACAAGCCAAGGTGATTGGGATGACGACGACGGGGGCGGCAAAACACCGGAAGTTGCTGCAAGATGTCAAGCCAAGAGTCGTCGTTGTGGAGGAGGCAGCAGAAGTTCTCGAGGCCCACATCGTCACGGCTTTAAGCGAACACTGCCAGCATCTGATCCTCATTGGCGACCACAAGCAGCTGAGGCCGAAAGCGGAAGTCTATCAACTGGCGAAACAGTTCGGGCTGGAGGTTTCGTTGTTCGAGAGGCTAGTGAACAATGACGTCAACTGTGTACAACTCACAGAGCAGCATCGGATGAGGCCGGAAATTTCCGTGTACATGAAACACATTTACCCCAATCTAATCGACAGCGCGTCGGTTGTCGACAGAGAAAATGTGAGAGGTGTGGAAAAAAACATTTTCTTTATCAACCACAACCGATCAGAAGGCTCTGTGAAACACAGCAGAAGTAAATTAAATGATTATGAAGCGAGGTACATCATGAAGCTCGCGGATTACTTAATTGACCAAGGCTACTCCGCGGAGGATATAACAATCCTGGCTACCTACGGCGGGCAGGTGTCGCTGATCAAGGAACTCATGAACAACTCCGAAGATGAGTTTCTAAGGCAGATTCGGGTGTCGACCGTGGACAACTTTCAAGGCGAGCAGAGTAAAATAATTCTCTTGTCCCTAGTGAGGAGCAACACACAGGAGAGTGTTGGCTTTTTGAGCACGGACAACAGGGTGTGTGTGGCTCTGTCCAGGGCGCAATACGGCATGTACGTCATTGGGAATGTTGATCTGCTAGCGCGTCATAGCCAGCTGTGGAGTAAGATAAAGCAAACAGCCAAGGAGAGGGGGGAAATCGGCGAGACCTTGCGTCTAAGGTGTCAACAGCACCGAAAAGTTTCTGAAATTAAAAACGTTTCAGATTTCAAGAAGATTCTGGAAGAAGGTTGCGGGAAGAAATGTGGTGGTAGCTTGAATTGTGGTCACGCCTGTCCGGAGTTCTGTCACGGGTTTAGTCACGACAACGTCCTGTGCAGCCGGCCGTGCAAGCGGAAATGTCCACAGGGCCACCCGTGTCTGAAGTTTTGTGGTGAAGAATGTGCCTTGTGCTGTGTACCACAGGAAGTAGAGTCATGTAGCCCTGTATCATTCAAAGTAGAATCTTCACCTATTAAACTTTCACACTCTAGAGGCAGTGCTTCCCTGAGTAGCTCCACCCAAAGTCTCTCCTCTAGTGCTGCTAGCAGCGATTCCTCAAACCAAAAGAAAAAATCCAAATCCAAACAACCAAGCGTGGTAAAAACTCGCCCTGAGACTTTGAAAGAAAAAATTCCACCGTCTTGTGAACATTTTTTTACTGGAGCCAGTCGTTCCTTGAGCATCTCCACCCACAGTCTCTCTTCTATTGTTACCGGCAGTAAACCTGTTACTGAAAAGAAAAGTAAACCACATCTAAAAGCCCAGCAATCTAGCGCGACCAAAATCCCTTCAGGGAGTTTAAAAGATAAAATTACTCTGCCTGTGAAACATTCACCAACGGGAAAAGGTGGCTCTCTCAGTAGTTCCACCCACAGTCTGTCATCTGGTGCTACTGACGGGGACTCGACGGATCAGAAGAGCACCTTACTATTAAAACATCAACCGGTCATCAAGGTCAAGTGTCCCAACACCTGCAGTAGAGGTCACCCATGTACAAAGAAGGCCAACCAGCCGTGCCCGCCCTGTCCGCGGAAGTTGAAGTGTGGCCATGGCTGTAGAAGTGTGCCAGCACTGCAGCAGACGCAGGGCGGGGCAGACAGCTCAGCATGCACGAGAAAATGTCGTAAAGTCTGCAGAAATGGACACAAATGTCCAGGAAAATGCCACGAGCCATGTCCGGTCAACTGCGCTAAAGCTCTAGCCTGTGGTCACCCGTGTGGCGACAGCTTTAAGAAAGAAAATATCGGCAGGATCAAGCCAGTACCGTGTGTGAAATCCTGCACCAAACAATGCCCGCATGGGCACAGGTGCACATCAACATGCTCAACACAATGCCCGCCCTGTCACGTGATGACCAGGGCGCGGTTCCCGTGTGATCACGTTCTCGAGGTCAGGTGTCACGAGATTGACCGCGAAGTGGATAAATGCAAGCGTCCATGCGAGAAGAAATGCCCCAGGGGGCACCCGTGCAACCGTCGTCACCACAAAAGTTGTCCCCCTTGCTCACAGCTGACGAACACGCTCGCTGACTGCGGCCATTTTGTGTATTCCTTTTGTGACGAGTCGTCTGCTTCGTGTCGTATTTGTAGTGTTGACGATCTGATAGATAACATTTTATCTTTTAGCTTGAGCCGCCCTGTGACTCGTGTTGCCTAAAGGGAATTAACTCAGTTTTTTTTAAAAATATCTAATCCCGCACAACTGGACACACAAAAAGTGTATGGTGTAAACACAGACAATAAGCAAGATCTCAAAAAAAAAAATGTAAAAAAAAAAAATCAACAACAAAATTCCCCAACCAAAACATTGATTAGATCAAGATGGTAGTCTCGCTTTACATAAGCTTAAATCTAGAATCTACCTCGCGCAGTGTGATTTAGCAGAAATCCAGCATCACATATTCCATGACGCATCTACTCAGGGATCTTACAACATTGGTTCCTGCCTATTGGCGTGTGCTATTATGTCAAATTTTTGTTGTTGCTTTTAATGTCTAAATGTTACGGGTATTTTTACCCATTGTTGCTGTTACCAAATACCTTATTCATGTTACCACCGGTGATGTGTTAAAATGTATTATTCATTTGTTTTTTTAAGTATTTATTTTATCGTGCTCATAAACATCGTGATTTTTAAAAAAAGGTCTTTTAATAATTGTCTTTTTATAAAGCACTAGCCATAAATTGTGTGAGTAAATATTTTTTACACAATTTTTATATTATTTTAATAATTATTGTTATTGTAGGCACATTTAATTAAGATAAAAATTCTGTATGGAGTGGGAATGAAGTAAAAGTTTTATTGATTTGATGTTAATTTTTATGTACGCGTTAGATACTAGTCGAATTAAACTAGGCAAAAAAAATCTAATCAACATTTTCATCAGGTTTTTTAAAACCATGTGATCATGTACATTTTAAGTGATTTGTTTGTGTACATATTATTAGAATAAAGTTATCAACAGCTTTAAAATACAAAGCCACATCTGCATTAACATATTTATTTGCACTATGTGTTTAAATTTAAGATTTCAATTAGGAATTGTTATTTTTGTTTGAGATATTTATTTTTGCATACTAAGTTGTACGTTTTTAAATTTTTATTTCAATTACAATATTATATTACGATATTTACATTTAAAGATTACTATTATTTCATTCTGATTATTTTAAGATTAGATTTGCACATAATATACAATTACATGCCTTTAAATTAAAATAAACTGATGGTATTATATACATTAATTGTAGTTGTATTAATTATGTTAATTGCTTAATGTTAATTCGCAATGCCCAAGTAAAAAAGCTAGTACTGAACATATTGATCCAAGGGCAGTAACCTATGTGCTACACTCGAGATCCACGAATCATAATGTTATATATATATATATATATATATATATATATATATATATATATATATATATATATATATATATATATATATCTTACTCCTAAACGAAGTCTAGTATGAGAAGAAAAATTTTAGTTGATGAAGATACACATATACAAAAGTGGATATTTCCACACACATCTGTTGCACTGAATTTTTCTTAGCTGTTATTCTGTTTTATTGTTTATTTATTGTTATTGTTTATTAATAAAACACAATTAATCCGACGTTATTTGTTTGTCTTTATTACTACTTTCTGGCATTACTATTTGTGAATAAAACAAAGAACATAGAATCAGTCAGTCACTTTGAACTTATGCGGTAACTCGTGTATGTCCTGTATGGATGCGAGGCATGGACCCTCAACGGCAGACCTTCTTAGAACAATCCTTGCCCTGGAAATGAGATGTCTACACAGACTCCTAGGGATCTCATACAAAGATCATATAACTAACGAAGAAGCCCGAGAAAATATCACAAATGCGCTTGGTCACTTTGAGAGTCTACTGTGCATGGTCAAAACAAGAACATTAAGTTGGTATGGGCATGTGACAAGATTAAAAAAGCCTAACCAAAACAATATTTTAAAGACACTGTACCAGGAGGGGAAGAAGGGGAAGAAGCGATGACATCAAGAATTGGACGGGGCTGCTCGTCTCAGAACTAATCAGATCGGCAGATGGATGGCGAAGAATTATGAAGTCAACAGTGGTTTGCCAACGGCCACAATAGGGGTTAAGTAAAGAAATGATTATGATGATGATGATCAGTAAGTTATGCTAGTCTTAAATGAACTGCTAATAGATTGTAGCTCAATTACAACAGGGAGATAAAGCGGGCTATCTGAGAGCTGAAACTAGAAAGATAAACTAACAGATTGTATTAAATAATTATAGTGAATGGTTTAAACACAAAGCAAGTTCTAATGTAAATTTAACCGGCTTTTAAAAAAAAACAACATATCTAGCCGATGAAGGATAACCTTACTTTGACTTTCAACTTGGGATTTTACTTTCAGTGATTTGATCTGTAAATATTTAATTGTTGCATGACAACTTACTCAAGACCTGGCGGAATTATGACTCTTATCGAATAGATGAAATGTTTAAAGCAACCTGACATCGGCACATCATATTCCTTACTTCACGTTAAAAGTATAACAATGTTTTTATTTTGTTACTAACACGCACACGTTTCTCTGTACTCTCAGTAAAATTTGCTTGAGCCTGTGATCAAAGTCACGTAATAAACAACTGGTTCATTTTATTCTTTTATTTTATTTTAAATTTTGACGGTGGAGGAGACACCCAGCTCTGGTGACGTAGACGACTGAACATTTCCCCAACACACCACTCTACAAACTTGTTCCCTGAGTGGGGTTTTCAGGGGTCAGTCTGCTGACCCCGGTTGATGGAGCAACCATCGTACTTTCGGGGAATTAAATTAGACATGACTCGTTTGTAAATACACGCACATTACATCTATCTCACCAATATTTACATTCACACCAAAGTGGTTTATTAGTCAACAACACTCAGCTTTATTACAAGTATTCATTATCTTTTCCAGTGAGTGCTCAACACATATAGCAGATGCAGTGGAGTTCATCTGTCTCAATAACCCCGGCAGGTACAGGGATATTGTTGTTAGTACTAGTCTAAGCGCAGCCGCTTTTGATTTCGCTAGATCCGGGATCTTAACTCGAGACTTTTAGGTTACCAGTCGTTTGCTCTACCTTCCGGACATACAGTTCATGCAACATATGACGGTGGTCTTGCCTGGCTAATGGGAGACACCTCTTGAGCCGGTGATGTCCGTCAAGAAAGACGGTTGTTTTGTACAGGCAAAGTGTTGAAGGTATATAGGCATGACAGGTAAATGTGATGACCGCTTCGATTGATTAACTAACTAGGGAATGTGTCTGTGTTAATAGACACATGTCATTACAGATACAGGTGATGGCAGGGATAGGCGAACACAGGTGCAGGCGTGGCAGGGAGAGGTAATGACAGGTGCAGGCAATAGCAAGGAGAGCTAATGACAGGTACAGGTAGCGTGTTGACTGGCTCTGCTACACACGTCCCACTGAAGCTCTGGTTAAACCCTGGTTAAACCTGAGACGGGTACCTTGCCCATATCAAGCTATAATATTTTTTATAATAACGTTAGATGCGGCTGTCCAACATATTGTTACCCCAAACACTAATGCAGGGGCGTAGCGAGGGGGGGGGGGGCGGGGGGTGCGGACCGCACCGGGTGACACCAAGGCAAAAAATAGCAAAATATATATAGAAAAACTTGAGGGGGGGTGCAAATCGAAAACTTGAGGGGGGGGGGGGGTGCAAATCGAAAACTTGAGGGGGGGGTGCAAATCGAAAGTTTGAAAGTTTGTCCACGGGAAGGGTCGCTACGCCTCTGGGGGGGTGACACCATTAAGTGCCGCACCGGGTGACACCCGACCTCGCTACGCCACTGCACTAATGCATACACAAACATTGACAACAAGACGTAAACAAAAGTAGTGAAATCAGAATAAACATACAAATGAAGAATCTATATATATAATTCTCCTCTTCGAGCCGTTAGAAAACAAGCTGCAAACGCTCTCCCTACCTCCCCACCCCTACATGGTTTTAGTGAGCTGTGTTCACTCTAAATGTTTACAAGCAGAACTCTAAATGTTTACAAGCAGAGCCAACGATTTTAAACGTAGGGGGGGGGGGGGGAGGGGGGGGGAGGAAGGGGGGGGGGGGGTTATGGTCCTTAACGAGCTACTTATAGTGTTTTAAAGAAATATTTTCAGTGTCAGCGTTGGTACTGTCGAATTCACAAATTATGAATTATTGAAAATTAGAAACAACTAAATAGCGGCGTATGTTATGCCGCGGGCCGGCTCGTATACTTTATTTTAGTTTATTGTCAAACAGCAACACATCACCTTGTACACAAAGCCGGTTGTAATAAAATAAAACATGCCATGTTTCTTTTACATATTGGCTATGTGAAAAGGATATTTTAAAGACAATCTTTCTAATGAGAAAAATAAGTGTTACTACTAGTGCTAGAATGTATTAAAATTTGGTACAAAATAATACCTGGCCTTCGCTCAAACATATCTGGTTTCTAACTGAACATTCGTAGCCAGGAAAGTAAAACTATACAATACATTAAGTCTTAATTATAATCATATGTGGGACGGCGGGGTCGCACGGTAGAGCATTTGGCTACTAGCCCGGGGGTCTCAAGTTAGGGTCTCGGACAGGACTCGGGACTATAGTCCCTGAGTTTGGCTACTAGCCCGGGGATCTCATGTTAGGGTCTCGGACAGGACTGGGGACTATAGTCCCTGAGTTTGGCTACTAGCCCGGGGAACTCATGTTAGAGTCTCGGACAGGACTCGGGACTATAGTCCCTGAGTTTGGCTACTAGCCCGGGGATCTCATGTTAGAGTCTCGGTCAGGACTCGGGACTATAGTCCCTGAGTTTGGCTACTAGCCCGGGGATCTCATGTTAGAGTCTCGGACAGGACTCGGGACTATAGTCCCTGAGTTTGGCTACTAGCCCGGGGGTCTCATGTTAGAGTCTCGGACAGGACTCGTGACTATAGTCCCTGAGTTTGGCTACTAGCCCGGGGATCTCATGTTAGAGTCTCGGACAGGACTGGGGACTATAGTCCCTGCGTCCAGCTAGCTCTGACACGTTGGGTAAAGTGATGGTCAAGAAACACATAAACTCTGCTTAATCAGCCCGATGAATCTTTCGGTCTGAAAGGGGACCTTTACTTTGCTTTTTATAATCTTTTAAAAGCGTAATATAGAAATTTTTTTTTCGAAATCTTAATTTTGACTATTATGAAAGAAATATA